TTAAACTTAGACATAATAATGAAGCAAGGAATGCAAGTGTATTATAAATTGAGCTACTCGAAATTCCAATCGAGTCCCAATAATAACCACATGTTTACAATATAGAGTTTAGTCAAGCCTAAACAGTGCATGGTTTGAATAATATCGTTGCATGTCCATTTCTTATTGGTCTTAAACGTACTCGTACTCCAAGTGTATTTACACTTTGTTATAATATGTTTTAATTGTACTTTCAAGTCGGTTTATTTCGACTTGAAAGTAATCTATCGTTGTTAAATTGTGTGAGGTAATGAACGCAATTCGTATGTCTTTTTGACTCTTTGAGTAAATATAATTACTTAGAAACTTTTATTTATAACGGTCCATATAATGACCCGGTCCCAAAGGCCAATTAGTGTAGCAATGGAATACTCCATTTAAGTGGATATACGATTAGGTATAAAATATCAACAGACTATTTCCGTTCTAAAACCCAAGAGTTGCGTGTTGAAGTTTCTTTTCCGACGCTTTTTTATAAATATTTAGATTCTAAATCCAATATTCGCTAAACATAATGTGATATTCACTTTATATGGAATTTTAAATAATATATATTGAATCCGAAACATATCGACATATCTAACAAATGTTTAAAACTAAACATTTATAAAATATTTGAATAAAAAATTCTATACAGGCTGTCCCACGAAGATATACCCCTCGAATATTACTGAAGGTATTAAAGATAATCAAACTATTTTTTTTTTTTTTTTTTTTATAATACTCATAGGGATGAGGACTACAAATACGCATATTTGAATTAGTTTTTTTTTTTTATTAAAAAAATTACTTTTTATTTTATTTTTTTCGGAAAATTCTAAGATAGCTAGATAGTTATTCTGCAGAGTTAATTTTTCTAAAAATTTTAATGTATCACACATATTTTATATCCGATGAATAGTTTAAAAGTAACAGCCGTTTTAAATTCTACTAATCCGTGTGAAAACCGATGTTATTTAAAGAATAATCTAACCGTATTATGCAAAACATCGGGTTTTAAACGAATTAGTAGAATTTAAAATAGCTGTTACTATTAATATTATATTAATATTTTGTTCAAAATTGAATCTATTTTCCCGTTTTTTCTATTTTATTTCTCAGTTTACCCATGGGAAAATCAAAAATTGACTTTCTCAAAGTACCAGCCAGATTTTCTTTCGGAAAAAGTGCTATCATTTTAAATCGGAGCAAATTTCTGGGAGAAAATTTGTCTAAGCAAATGAAGTATAAACCGTTATTATGAACATTTGAATACGATTTAGCGTATAAACGTTAACACGGCGTTATTGTTTATTTTATTTAGATTTTCCGTGGATAGTAGTGTGGCGATCTAATGGTCCTCCAAGTTTTATCAGTCCTCTCGATACCTCTCTTATATTAATATAAATATTTTAAATTTTAAGTTGCATCCACTTTCAGTCGGTCAATACTTTGGAATATTATAATATTTAATAGTATACATTGTACATGTGTTTACAGGATGTCTAAAATTTATGGTTCGCATGAACGTTTTCAAAAGTTTTTAGACGTTGTAATATAGACACGAGTGTTTTAATGCACTTGGTCACAAGTATTATAGTATTCGAGTGTTATGCCCCCCGGAGCCTAAAATAAAACGCGCATTTTTCTCACGAAAATATCGTTGAAAATCTTTATAGTTCCCTGCGTTGTTGTCTCCAGCTTTTTACTTAAAACCTGCAGGGACATTGCGATAATACAAGGTGATTCTATAATAGAGGTTGTTTTGCAACTATAGTGGAAATTTCCTCAACAAATTTCCATCGCGTCCGTCGCCATCGTCGAGCTCACTGCGGTATGAACGTGTCTCCGGAATTGCAGCAGACGATCAATACGCGTAAATTGTATTATACGACGATATTTATTCATATCACGACGATATCACTATACATTCTATATTCGTTTGATTTTTGATTATAATTTTAAAAACTTTGTTATAATTTACGATGGCGTAAGATCACATAGCAGCACACTCTCCGGAGTATTATATATGTATGTTATTAAGAAATCGTTATAATTTTCTCCGAAGATTTTAATCAATTAAAATTTTTATGATTGAGAAAAAGACCAACAAAAATAAAGATTGGCCGGGAGAGTCATAGAATCGAAAATCCTACCTAAAAGTTGTAATTTTTGACACACTGTAATCAATTCATATTTAAATTTTAGGGGTTACGACTATAATATGTGTATCTTGATTTGGTATAAATTAGAAACATAATAGGGAAATATAAATTGTTTAAAGTACCTAAATGCCTATGTAAATTAAATCTTAGTAAACAATTTGTTTGGTAACTATAGGTACAGTTTCGGATTTACCTCATGATTAGGTTAGTGATAAAACATTGAGGAATGGTTTATTATTTAAAACAAGTTTATTTATATATATCTATAAATTTGATCTATCGTAAGACACTCGGAAGTTATTAATATATTTTTTTCAGAATTTTTTTTTAGAAAACTTAATAAACAAGCAGCTCTGAAATTTTTCAATCGTGTTATTTTTTGTCACTCTTATTTTTAAAGTTAAAACTTGCACTACCTACTTTTGAATTTCAAACAACAACCTGTATTATAAATTCCATAAACAGATAGAGTGATTTAGTAGCCAAAAAAAATTTTAGTGTTGAAATAATTGATTTCCGTCAATCCGTTGATATTCCACTTTTAAGTTTTGGTCGGGGGAGAGCAGAGAAATATCATTTGTGCGGTGGCACTGCGCGTGACGCTTTGATAATCGAGATAATGGATGTCTAACAATATATTGATCGCCTTGTATAATTTTATTGATTTTCCTATTGCAAACTAAAAGTAATACATATTCTCAAATGTATAAAAAAAAAAACATACAAATCCTAAAATTTTCAAGCCCAAGTGACAATATTTGTTTAAAACGAATAAATATTACTTGAGTAAATCGTTTCTTTTCAAGAAAATTTCAAAGTGGATGTTCGTTTTAACAGCAGCTGAAACAGTTTTACAAAAATCGTTTATATGTAATATATTGTCATCGCATGAATTTATTATAATTTATTTCACTTAGCTATGAACCAACAGTATTAGTATAATTCACTTGATGTTTTTTAGCTATACAGTTGACCTACTTCTCGTTAAATGACTAAATCATTCACTAACACCATGATAATATGTTCTTAAATACCATTGTTCCGTCTAGAGTCGACCCTTCAGATATATATTTTAGTTTAACGATATAAATATGAAGTAAATGTCGATTCTGATCCCTTTGTTTGATTTAACCTATCAGAATTGTGATTTATTTTGTCAATTCGCAAATATCCAAATATAAGAAAAATAAATAAGAATAATTTATTTTTGGTAAAAAATAAGAATTTTTTCCCATGTTTTAACAGTTTTTCTATGTCATTATTAGATATCTAACACGAGCAATTTGGTAGTCTGTGACAAAAATTATTTTAGAATAATTGTGTACTTTACAGTTTAATTGTCAAAAGACAATTCAGATTACCGTAATTTACCACCAAATTGACTAAATCTTAATAATACAGAACGCATTTTCTCGACATTATTCTCGTAATCTTTAGACTCCTAATCTCTGCAGAATATTCGATTAAACGATTAAGACGTGAAATATATTCTCTTACTATAGCAGTTATTGTACATTATTTCTCAATTTAGGCCTATAATTAAAGTTAATCGTTTGCAATCGACGGCGAAATTAACGACTATGGTTTTCGAATTGAATTTCTAAATCGTATATAATAATGAGTGAGGGCTGAATCGATTTTTTGAATATACATTTTTAACTTTTAACCACAAATCGTTGACATCCCAAAATTTGACGATGCAAAGGTTACATAAAAAATGTCTAACAGATCTTTTTATTTCAATCTCGTCTTAGTCTAAATACAAGGAATAAATCAAAAAATGAAAAATGTAAATTTATCATTACGATTCTGATTATGATATTGATTCGTCAGGGCCGAATAAAATTCTTTCTTTAACAAATTATCTTAGCTGGATCTATCTGAAATCCACGTGTTACTATTTACACGTGCCACCATAATTTCATAAAACATAACCTGATAAATACCTAACAGTTATTTTACAGAACTGATTGAACTTAAACTTTGAACAGAAATTTTTACCAAAAACCGTACTCTAACCATCGACTTAAAGGACGCAGGTGTCTGGCATCAAATTGTATATATCTAAGTTGTGTCATTGATGAGGAGATCATTATTCAATATTCCTTGCATTTTTCTTAAAATCTAATTGGGTAAAAACAGGAGTCATGATAAACCATTGTTGGAGCACCACAATTCTTTTTTACATACAACAAGACAAGTACACCATGTCGAACTTCACGTCGCGCGTCGATTCGTTCAGCCGAACCGTTTAACGGTTAAAAAGTTTGTTTTCCGAAACAATAGACAAATAAATTGTTGTACTATAAATAAATAATATCGTTAAACTAGATTCTAAAAAATATTGAAAAAAAAAACAACAAAATCACCCTATACATAGTTACATTTCGAATATTCAAATATACAAAACTACAGTCTACATTTATGTAATATGTTTACAAGTATTGATTTTACCGGTAAATTTAACAAAAATTTACTCTGGCATTTACATCACGAGCATTCGTGACAGACCAGGCACACGTATTATTATTATTATAACTCTAACAAAATAATGCATCCAATCTTCGACAATATTAAATCTGGTGATATTTTCGTAAAGGTTTTATTGTGTTATTATTCTGTTTTTATTCAGTAAAACAGATATTATTGTGTATCGAATTTACTCGTCGTCCGCTGACGCCGCTGGCGTGCAAAATATCCGGAAACGGACACGGTTTTTTTTTTTTTTTTTAAATGCGATTTTTATTTTTGTGTCGGTAAACAGTCGGTTTTTAACCGTATGAAAACGTCTTGAAAAATATTACAATTTATATACGCATGGCCATTGACTCCATATCAAAACAGGTAATAACAATATTTCGTTTAACTGGGGTTTTAAAAATTTCGTTTCAAAATTCAATGTTGAGGGTGTCAGGGAACAGACCCGCATTCTTTATTAAACGAAGACGAAAAATTGCATGTGCAAATATATATGACACTTGTAGTCTATGCGAAGTAAATGAAACTGTACTATTGACTTAAAGTCACTTTTATTAAATCTTCATGTTAACAGTAATCACACCCGTATAACACAGTAACAAAGTATCGTTTTGTATTATTTTTACATTATTCAATTTAGTCGTATTTTATAAAATGTTAAATAATCTTGGTTACTTTACTGTAAAGAACAAATTAACATATTATGATTTATAGTTCTTCCAAGAAACGATTAACAAAGAAGAAAGGTTATGCAACATCATTCTACTCAATCTATTTGAATCGGATAAAAATAATGATAAACTAAGAACAAAAGACTTACTAGCTGTTATGAAATCTAAAATCGAACGTTTTTTATTGTATCGATTAGGTAAACCAACTGGCCTACAGGTAGACAAGCCACGACCAATAAAAATCAAACTACGTGATCAATATGATGTATTATACCTTCTGCGTTCTCAAAAACAATTACAGCCGTCATCAACATGGAAAGGGATTCGGTTGTCGTCAGATCGCACTGTGATGCAATGAGAACACTTGTCTAGCTCGCGGAAAGAACTGTAACGGCGTTGTGCAAAAGGTGAAAACAATATAAATGTTTTTTATTTATTTATTATTATTATTTATTTATTTATTTATTATTATTATTTATTTATTTATTTATTATTATTTATTTATTCAAACTGCTACGAATATGTTTTTTTACCGTGGTGGTAAACAATGATAACTACCGCAAAGAGAATACAAACAAATTGATACCAAAAAATCAATTTCGACAAAAATTAAGTAACTAGGCATTGCCGTTAGTGTAACGATATATGATATTATATTTACCGAAATTTGGTTGACATCTAACATGGAGATTTCTGAATTAGGTTTAAACGACTATTCAACTTATCGCTGCGACAGGAGCAGCCACACTAGTTCCTTATCAAGAGGTGGTGGGATTTTAATAGCTGTTCGCAATAACATAATATCGAAACTTATTTCTGTTCATAATAACAGTGATGAACTGTTATTTGTACTAGTAAAACTATACGATAAAATACGGATTGTCGGCTCTGTATATATACCTAACCGATCTTCGGAAAATGTGTTCGCAAACTATTTTGATATTGTTGAATCTTTACTCGACAAACATCTTGCATGCTACATTTTCGTTTTGTTCGGGATTTCAATCCTCCGTCAGCTAATAGCTGTAATATTTATTCTTTCTTTGAAGAAAAATGATCTTATTTAAATCTATCACTATTAAATAGAATTAAAAACAATAAAAGTGTTATGCTTGACTATATTTTATCAAATGTTACAACAATCGATGTACAACAAAACTTAAACCCATTCGTCCCGGTAGACCTGTTACAATCTCCTTTTACATTAAACAAACGATTTATAGCAGCTGTAAAATGTTACAATTCTACTATTTTTTATCAGCCATATATTTCAGGGTTACAGGCGAACGGATATAAAATTGTTTTGATTTTTGAATTGTAACTTACATAATAGTTCCATAAATAGATAGAGTATTAGTTTAAATACAATTTGGTGTTTAAAACATCTAATCTTTGACAGTTTTATATCGATGTTCGGTAATATTTTCGCAAATGTTTGATCATTATTATTTTTTTTTTTTTTTATTCAGTAAAACAGATATGACTGTGTGTTGACAACAATATAAACCGAAAACATCACAGTACGAATAGGTTATCAGTATTATTATTATCTAGTATTTTAAATACAGTTTTTGCAAAATACATTTTATAAAATTCCCTTATCTTTGAATTTTTCCAAAACTTTAGAAGGGTCAATCTATCTAACCGGTGGTTGTAATTTTAACAAACACACAGCTTTCTATTAATGCCGAATTTCAATTTGCGATTGATTAAAAATTAGAAAATATATACATAATACAATTTCAATTAATGTTTATCGATGGAAATGATACAATTAAACGTAAATTAATAGACAATAATTGAACTTCTTAAACCATGAATTACGTTAACAACACGTAAACAGGGTGAAAAACAAATATAGGTTATAAAAATACCAATTTTAAATTGTAATATACGCGATAGTAAAAATCCGGAAACAAAAATGTGGAATTATTTTATTATTATTTACTCCTGTCGAAAAAGGTAATAACAATATTGCGTTTGACCGGGTTTTTGTTATTTGTTTCCATTGTAAATTTGACAACGGAAATGTATAGGTAAGTGTACACGTCACATATCCTAAAACCGTCGCGCGTCAGTATCTTGTGGTGGACACTTACGAATATTATACATCGTAAATAAATAATATCGTGTTTTTTTTTCTGACAACTTTTTAGTAATAAACGTGGTCATGTATTAGTATATAGGATTCTTATGAAATAAGAATACCCCTCGTATTTGTCTAAAAACGTAGCTCTTAAAAAAAAAATGTGTATGTGTGTTTTTTTAGGCGATATATTGATTATTTTAATGCATACCTTCCAAAAGTTTTTATTCTACATTTTTCGACAATTATATAACTATACATGTAGGGTGTCTCACGATGATCTGACACGTGAAATAACTATTGTTCTATTCCATATTTTAAATTATATATAAATATATATTTGTAAAATAGACTTTTAGAAAATGTTTGAATGGGTGAAACTTTTGTTTTGACTAAGGTATTTGATTTTCTACAATTTTTTAAAATCTAAACAAATGTGAATATTATTTTCGTTTGTGAATAATAACCATGGTTCACAGATTATGATAATATTTTTGTATGATATTAACTCACGGAAAAGAAAATCCTCGTTGTTTGATGTTTTCCGACTACTGATTAAATATAACAATAGATTATATGTTTTATAATATGGGTTAATAATATTTTAAAAGTCAACATTTTAACAGAATTATAAAAATACTACACACGTTTTTCTCAATTTACTTATGTTGCAGCTTTTATCACGCGAACAGGGTTTACTAGTTTTCGAAAAGGCTTAATATAAAAATAATTTTTTTTTACTAATGCTCAACATACTGTATTAATCATGTAGGTTGAAAATATAGACGATAATATTATACGTGCAAATATAATCTGGAGAATTTATTTGGATAATACACGCTCCGCCCACCGTAACAAATGATATTTTACGTGTACGATAATTAAGTGCTTTTGCACGAATAAATATGAAATGTAAAAGAATATGAAACACGTAATTTTACTAGATATTAGAGCCATATTGTTGAGCTATTTATAAAAATTTAAATTTTTCGAGTTTTTTACGTAAATTTTATTTTGTAGGTACTCTGGTAGTTGAAGGTAAATTAAAAAAAAAACTCTCTCGGTACACCTACTTAATCAAAAAAACGTACAAGAAAGTTCTTATAATATTTTTGATTATATTAAGATTTCTGGTAAAAAAGTTATTTACAGACACAGAAAATAACATTTTTAAAAATTATATAGTAAAGCCAATGCGTTCCTCACTTCACTCAGAATTTAAAAGTCAAATAAAGTCAAATGTTGTTAAAAAATAAAAACGAACAATTTATCTATTGCATGTACAATGGATAGGTAAATAATATCATACTTAGATGATTTAAATCAATGCACCGTATCATCTTTAAATTGTATGCTCTTATAAAAACTATAATAATTTTAACTTTTTTTTTTTAATACACATTCCGGCCAGATCGATCATTTTGTTTTAAATATAATTTGTCCCGTGAGATTTCCTAAGTCTCGGTACACACCACGTCATATACGCACGTATTATCGAAATAATCGAGTTCACATCGACTGTCCAATTAATCCGAATTAGTAGAATCCCCTAGGAAACTATCGCATTGAAACGAAAAAGTCCTTCGTATTTTTATTTTTTTTTTTTTTTAAATAATTAATTAAAACAGTTTATACTATTTTCATATATATTTTATACTCCGAGGCTATGATAAATCCAAGTCATTTAATTTATTATCGTCAAGTACATAATATAAAAATAGGTCACCGTTAATTTTGTCACCACAAATTACAAGGAAACTTGTTTTTTTATTTTTAAGATACTATTGATAAAATAGCGATCAGCGTGTAACCTTTGTGAAGTCTATTTAACAAAACTAATGCAAATTGATATTATGTTTGCAATTTGTTAAAATGTTTAAATTACATATGTAGTTATATCATTTATATATTATAATATATCATAACTAGTTTACTTTACCACCCATCATAATTTATTGTTAACTTAATGTCAATTTGTATGGATGTTAACGATTAAATATCCACATAAAACTAATAAAAAAAAAAAAAAAAACTAGAAAATTTAAAAAGCACTAACTCAAAAACCGTCAAAATATTTTTAAAACTGTACCACGTCTAGACTGTGTTAATCTTATAAGAATTCTATGAAAATTACAAGTTTCTAAAATTATTTTTCCCTGAATCACAACAAAAATAATATAATTCAAATGAACAGAAACCATTATTACGTTAACATTCCATTTTTTTTTTTTGAAGTTTTTTTTCATCATTAAGAAAAGTAATAGGGAAATAAAAAAAAAGCTGGTAATGGGAACGAGTGTGCCACTGTTGTAGAGGGGGTGGTTTGGAAGGTGTAATATATAAAGTTATTTAATTTACACCTGTAACCAACGATAAACCATTAATAACAAAAACGATTCAGAGCGAAGTTCACTTATAAATGTTTTGGAAGATAATATTCGTAATATCGTAATATTTACGATGTTTGTCAAAATTTAATATTTAAACTCTTATAAAAAAAAAAAAAATACTACATTACGTTTAATTTATTTTTTTTTTTTTTTTACCATTAAGAACGACTTTTGATGAACTTCCTGTTCAATTTTCAAGCATGTATATTTAGTCTGATCATTTTATGTACAAAAAACCTACCAAATAAAAATTACGTAGAAACTCGCAAAATTAAAATGTCTATTTACAGCTCTAAACTGGCTCAAATGTTTTGAACAGTTTACCACGTATAGAATAAGCAAAAAAAAAAAAATGTTCTGTCAAAATTGCAATTCTGTACAAATATTTTTAACAGAGTTAAATTGAAAATACTAAATTTAAAAGAATTATTTTCGTAAATTTTCCCGTTTTTTCTGCGTATTTTTCGGTTTTACTGAATTTTTTGCTAAACTATAAAGGAAAGCAAAAAACTTCTTTCTGGGTTACTAAATATATTAAAAATTCAACAAAAGAGATTTATTGTTATTTTTCTATTGGAGCAAGTTTGGTAGAAAATATTATTTGAACATATTTAAACAACTATACTGGGACGCCACGTTACCGTAAATATTAATCAATTATAATTTTTTAGTTTTTTCCAATTATTATTAAAACTAAATCAAATGTCAATAAAAGACTTTCTTTGCCAGTGGCTACATGTTAAAATAAGGAACATAATCGATCTCATGTCCTTACGCTTAATTGTTTTTTTTTGAATTTATGTAACAATGTAATATTGAACAAATAATAAAAAAACTGATACTGTTGATGAGTGTGTCACTGTTTTAAAAAGGTAGTTATAA